TTTTTGGAGGAAAATCATCTCTAAACCACAAATTGATTTGACACTGCCTTAAAAGAGCAACTGAAAGTATTGTTAGGTGTAGGCCTAGAGCCACTGGAAAAGCATCTGGGATGGTTTGAGTAACTGGGTGGGGGCCTGGAAACTTGCTTTGACCGGTCGCCTGTCATTGCTGGTTCGCTGTTGCCCTCTGCTGGCAAAACTGTTGTCATCCCAGGAAACCACACATCTCCCGGAGTTCCTAGATTCCCTTTTATACTGGGGTGTCCAGGCCTTTCTTCATCAAATAGAGAAATGGAAGCTAGTGCTGAGGAATGGTAGTGACAAGAGGACATGTGGCAGATCCTCTGCCAAGAGAGACTGGATCTCACAACTAAGATGATGAATCTTAGTTTTAGTTTTTCATGCTCTGCTCACTGGCAGAGACCATGATCTCTCTCGGCTCTGTGTTGGGCCTAGTAAGGGGACCCAGACAGGACTACAACACCTCTCTACACTAGAAGGTCTCTCATCAAATGTGGGGTAACAAGAGGACACTATGGAGATAGACATCACTGTAATACAGAGCAGACTGTGACAACCGAGGCACATCTGATCAAAATCTTGTGGATATTTAATGCAAAGAAAGATTACACCTACCTTGCAGGGGTGGGCTGGAGAATGGTGAGGGTGAGTCTCCGTGAAATAGGTAGCATTTTAACTGGGGACTTGAAGGATAGATGAGATTTATTATCTAAGAAAAATCTCTTTATCATAAAAATAGTATATGTTCATTGCAAAAAGAAATTAAGCTCTGGCTAATGAAAGCATAAGAAGAAATGAAAGTCATTTGAAATCCCAACCCTCAGATATAATCAGGGTTACCATTTTGATCTATGAATTTGTTGTCACAAAGTTGGAAGTACACTGAAGGTACCATCTTGTATCCTGCTCTTTTCTGACTTTTATGGCATGAACATTTTCCCAATGTTACTGATTAGTTTTTGAAACTGTGCTATTTTATGGGGGAGTATTTCAACGTGTAAACGTGAGGATAGGATTCCCAAACAGTGTGAGCCAAGGCATATGGCTTGCACAGCACAAAGATTGTTCATTCTTTGCTAATTCATTTCAGAAATATTTTTTGGACACATGCGACTTTGGAGACACAATGTAAAGAACTGTGGAGTTTACAGTAGAGGAACGGAGGCAGACGTTAATTAGGTCATCATAGAAATAACTGTAAAATTGCATCTGGGGTAAGTACTGCGAAGGAGAAGTGTGTGGCGTTATGTAAGTGTACATTAGAAAGAACAGAAGTAGTCACAGAGGTCTGGACAAGCTTGCCTGAGTAAGGAGTAATTGAGCTCAGCACTATAGCTGTGAGATGAAGAACCTCAGGATGAAGCAGCATATGCAAAATCCCTTCAGTAGGAGTGGCCTTGGTGAATACAAGAAACCGAAAGATCAAGAGGAATGAGTGGAGACTGGGCCTGGGATGAAATTGAAGAAATAGGTAGGGCCCGACTATGGATGGTGTCTTAGACCGGGTGAAGAACTTCTGTCATTTCTTGTTAGACCTCTGGGGAACTGTTGAATGTTTGAAGCCAAAGTGAAGAGATGGGGTCAGATTTGTTTTTTTCAGTAGGTCCCCTTCATTGCAGTATGGTGGAGAGGTTATGAGGGAAAGAACAGATGTAGGTAACCTGGGTCTAGGTGACTAGTAGCTCAACCCTAGTAAGGAGGTGATTGAAATAGTCTAAGCAAGAGGTGAGGGAAGACTGGGTCAAGATGGTGAAGGTCAAGATGGAGATAAGTGGGTGGTGTTGAGAAATAATGTGAGAGTCAAATGTTTAGGACCCGGCAGGTGAGGTGAGGAAAAGAGAGAGTCCAGAATGACTCCCTCCTAAGTCTCTGGCTTGCATAAGTGGGTGGAAGGAGAGTTCTTTTCCAGGATAGGGAACTCTGGAAGAGGACAAGTTTTGAAAGGTACAGTGACGTGTGTTTTCTCAGGGGAAAGGTTTTCCAGAGAGAACAGTCCCAGGAGTGGTATATATCATCACATCAACTCCTTCCAGAAGTGGGTTTTACCACATTCTTATACCACACTGAAGGACCCTCTATTTGGAGGTGGATGGTACTGGAAAGAAAGCCAATACCATGACTAGGTTTTGTGTCTCTACCTTGTCTTTAAAGAGCACTGGGTATTATTCTGTATGTTGGTAAATTGAACACCAATAAAAATTAATTTATTAAAAATAAAAAATAAAAAAAATAAAGGCAGAGACATAACATCTAGTCCAAAGGGTTGTTGTGAGGATTAATAGGGTCATCAACATCCAAGGACTTTGTAAATCTCCACAATATGTTACTGTTACTCCCACCCCTATATTTGTTGTGGATATTGTTGCCAACCCAACTTCAATTATGTTAATATTGGGAATATGAATTCAACGTTATTTCCATGAGTTATTTGGGGAAAAAAGGTGTGATTGAAGTCTAAATAAATACGTATACCACCCAGGAGCTAGAGATGTGGCCCCAAACTATTTATAAACCTGTGTGTTTACTTGAATTCAGACTTTCCCGACATGTGAATTATGCAGAATCTGTGTCACAGCAGAGCACTCTGTGTTCCTAAAAAGAATTCTCTTTTTTTCCCAAATCCTTTACCTTTTAAAATAAATCTCATTATGGAGTGCTGACATTTTCAGTAAAACCATTCAACCAAAAGCTGTGGTTTTTTTAGACTAAAACCAAGTCTGGTTTATTAGGCAGCAGCTTTTAACTTGCTGCTAAGTAGATGCAAGCTATTTAGAGAAATTTATGTAGATATCTGATAAGACATTTCAGAGTCCCCGTCTCTTTCTGACTAAGACTGAGAGTGTTAAACAGATTATCTAGAATTCTTTCCTTTTCTCAGTGGATCAGGAGTTGAGTATGGCAGCGTTGGAGTGGATGAACACCGTAGAACCAGGATTTAAACATCTCTCAGACTCTACACCACTGACTCTACTATCTTATTCTAGTTGACTACTTCGGGTGTGATTTTCTTCAAAGAGTTGTGGGGATGTAGAGCTAATACATATACCACATCATGACCACCATACAATAGGGCCTCCATCAAGGATCCCAACCTTCTTATTTTTCCATTTTCTGCTTCTCTCTTCTCTTTCACCCATTTTTTTTCTCTCTTTCATATGTCCTCCTATTCTTGCACTGATTTAAGTCCTGGCTGTCTGATTTAAGTCTTGCCTGTCTGTGTTTAGATTATGCTACACTGAGGAATGGTATATATTTGGGTTGCCCAAAATTCCTTAGTGGATTAGGTCTCTGCCAGTGATAATAACAGCTGATTTGTAGAGCACTGATAGAGAATAATTTCCTTTAATCCTCTCCCCAAATTTAGGAGATGTGCTAGTATTGTCTCCATTTCACAAAAAAGGAGCATGAGCCAAAGGCAGTTTATAGATTTAGTAGGTTATAGAACTGGAAGTTTTCACTCCTGCCCTCATCCAGCCCAATAACCTCCAAAATTTTTGATTAGCACTCATTTATTCACTCAACAGATATTTATTTAGTGTAGGCTATTTGACAGGAGCTGTGTAGAATGAGTAACCCAACAGACACAGTTTCTGCCTTCATGGAACACACACACACACGCACACTCAAACACACACAATGCTGAGCTTGCAATGACTGTCATTGTCCTTCCCTCTGTATTTTTGGTGTCCGTCCTTATCAGTCAGTGTCTACATGGTACTTACTTCTAAATATTTTACATATCATTCCTTCTTACAAAAAGCAATAGGTCCACAAAAAGAGAAGGATCAGGATGCTTTCAAAGAACATGATAGAGGGCCAAGTGTATATAGAAGCTGAAAAAATCCTCTTTAAATGAGGCATTTGAACTATGATTTGGACATTTAGGGTTCTTAGCCTGCTATGAGATAATGCTGTAGTCCATAGGTAACTTGGATTTTTTCCTAAGATTAGAGAGATGCTATTTAATAAAATAAACAGGGGAATGATGTCATTCTGTTTGTATTTTTAAAATAGAACTGTGGTTACTATGTGAGAATGAATGGGAATGGGATACCCATTCTATCTTTATATTAGACTGATTCTGTGTATTGAGGATTAAGGTATGGATCAGTCACAGATCATCCTCTTCAAGTCTCTTAGGGAAAACAAATCATGTACTGAAATAATTCTAATAAAAGTCATGAGTACTATATCCTAAAGGCTATAGGAGATAGACAACAAAAGTGCCATGGGTGAGAGGATTTACAGACCACACTCACTTTTCTCTAATCAGACACCACTGTTTGGATTTCTTCTTGTTTTCTCTGGTGGAGATTCTGTTGGAGTCAGAATTTTCCATGCATACACTGAAAGGCTTTCAAGGCCAAATCAAATCAATTTAGCAAACCCTTATCTAGTGTCTACTTTGTCTTTGTCTCATAAGAATACTACTTCACTTGTTTGTGTTTCTACCACAAGGAAATGATAGGATGGGCAGATATAGTGATGGCTTTGGGGGTCAATGCATCTGTGTTTGTCTCCATTCTATCCCCACTCAGCAACACAACTTTTGGGGATTAGAATTAACTAGTACGTAGTGAGTAAAGTTTATGGTAAGAATTGGGGTAGAAAAAATAGATGTTTTGGTGTCCTTGGAACAAGATGAAGTTTTTCTAGTGAACAGGGAACATGTGATGGAACAGAAATCAGGTGACTGCCAAGATGATAAAAACTTGTCATTCCCCTCATGGATCACTTCATGGGTACTCATCTCTGCAATAACTTTTTCTGTAATCTTCCATCTTCCTTCCTCCCTTGATCATAGGGCTGGACTGAGAGAAAGAGAGAGAGGATGGCATTAGATATTGGTCAACCCCTCTTCTGAGGTGATCAAACCTCCCTATTTTCTGTGTTAGTAGAGATGTTTTCAGTGAGTGCCATAATCTTTAACTTGGAAAGACCCTGCCATTAACCATTTTTCTCCATGATGATTCCTACAGAATAGACCACTGGAACAATGAGAAGGAGAGGATTTTGCTGGTCACAGACAAGACTCTCTGGATCTGTAAATATGACTTTATCATGCTCAGCTGTGTGCAGTTGCAACGGATTCCCCTGAGCTCTGTCTACCGAATCTGCCTGGGCAAGTTTGCCTTCCCCGGGATATCACTGGACAAGTGAGTGTGATGCCTTAGATTTGGAAAAGTGGTTCAATGGGGGCATGCCATGTAGGGAAGTCAATCACAAAGTTCAGTTTAGTATGGTAAGCTGGGTGGACCCAGGGGAGAAAAGTGAACTCCATGGTTGAATTAATCAATTATTGCGTTTCTACTTTACATCAGACACCAGAGATACGACTTTAAGTAAATTTGTGCTTTAATATGAGAACATGAGAAAAAAGATGGTTGAGTGTAAGGTGGAAAGAGCTGGAGGAGCGTGGAGGAAAGATCCTCAATTTAATTTGTGTGGCAGAGAATCAGAAAGGCTTTCCTGGAGAAGGACTTGAACCTATATTTGACGTTGGGTAGGAGTAGCCAAAGAACACAAGTTTAACATTCCAAGCTGAAAGAAGAGCACAGCCAAAGGAGTGGAGGTGAGAAAAAGTGTAATGCCCTTGGAAATTGAAATTATTCTGTAAAGATGAATGGACAAGAATCTATGATGGTTAGTTAATAGCTCTTATTAAAAGAAGTCTCTTTGAGGTCTTCCCTGGAAGCTTAGTGGAGATGACATCAGCTATCTCAGAGATGTTGACATTCACCAAGATACCTGGTGAGATCTACAGGGAAGGGTTGCTGAACTAAGCTCTTATTATGGTCTTGGAAGGAACTGTCTTTACTAAATATTTTAGATCTAAGACAGAAGGAGAGCAGTCTTCCTCTGAGCCTTTGAATATGAGCTTCTCCCATTGAATGGTGAACTCCTTGAGGGCAAATACATTTTTTGTTTATTTAGTTTTATTTTATAAACACCTGGCCTTGGGCCTGGCACATACTAAGAGCAGAAACATCTTTCCACAATGTTGAAAAAAGCAAAGTTCAAGCAAGTGGTTGGTTTCTTTACAAAAAAGCAAACCATATTAAAAATCTGTTTTTAAATTTACTTTCCATGGATGCAAGATGCGACAAATTGATTTTGTTTGCCGACTTTTTGAAATGGTGGATTTTCAATAACACAAGCAATTGTAAACATATTTTTAAACATCGTAAAATGTTTCTTTTCAGGAAATCTCTCTCCCACCCTAGACTCTCAGTTCTCAAGCAGTATCTCTTTAGGGTAATAGTCAATAATTACATGTTGTTGTTTTAAAGTAATAGTCTACAAATATACAAGAATCTAAAGTCTTTATATGTATTTATGTCTGTTTATACATATTTATAACTATGTATCTACACATGCATATTTATCATAAAGTATTTTACCCAGTGAGAACATATGTCATAAACTGCTCTGCCTCAAGATATTTTACCCAATGATAAACCTTGGAGATTTTATTATATAATCATCTATAGATCAGCCTCAGTCTTTTTAATGATGCAGAATATTTTATTTGAAAGCTAATCTATTTATCCAGACTCTCATTAATGGATATTTATTTTTACTTTTGCTACTACAAACAATATTGCTATAAGTATTCTTGTATATGGTACTTGGCACAGAAGTAAAAATGTATCTATAATGTAGATTTCTGTAATTGGAATTATTAGGACAAAAGTCATATGAATTTCAACTCATAGATATTGCCAGATTGCCTTCAACAAAGGTGACACCAATTAACTCTCTATATATTATTATAAACATATTATATTATAGAGTATATTTTTTGGGCTTTATACAAAGTATATGAATATCTTTTTCCATATACCTTCACCAACATTGCACATTATGAATCTTTTTTTTTACTTTGCCAGTGAGATAAAGAAAACATCTCATTTTTGTTTTAATCTCCATTGCTAGAACTTGAAGGAAGCTGAGGATGTTTTTCTTATGTTAGAAAGCCATTTTATTTATTTTTCTGTGAACTGCCTATTTATGACCATGACCCATTTTTTTTTTCTTATTGGGATATTGATTTTTTTCTTATTGATTTCTAAGAGCTTGTTCTAAATGTTTTTTTTTAATTTTTATTTATTTATGATAGTCACACACACAGAGAAAGAGAGGCAGAGACACAGGCAGAGGGAGAAGCAGGTTCCATGCACCGGGAGCCGGACGTGGGATCCGATCCCGGGTCTCCAGGATCGTGCCCTGGGCCAAAGGCAGGCGCCAAACCGCTGCGCCACCCAGGGATCCCTATTTTTACAAATATTTTCTCAGTTTGTCATATCTCTAACTTTATAATGCTATTTCTTTTTTACTTTTTTTTTAATTTTAGTTTGTCAAATTTATCAGTCTTTCAAATAAACTTTTTAAATTTATTTCTTTTTGAGGAAGGCTTTCTCCACATTGAAATTATAAAATATATTCCCAGTTTTCTAGTGTTTTTATGATTTTATTTTTTAGATAGTTAAATTTGCATTTCATCTAGAATTTACCTTAAGTGAGGAAAAAGATATGCAATCAGCTTTATTTTTTACCAAAATGGCAGGTCAAATTTCTCAGAATCATTTATTCAATACTCCATCTTTTTCTCTTTATATATATCTTTTACCATGTGTATTTGTCTTTATTTCTGGAATCACCATTCCATTTATCTGTTCATTAAAGTACAAAGTGGTTTCCATTATTATAATATTTTATTTTGTTTTAATATCTGATAGAGTTAATACTCCATTCTTTTTAAGAATTTTTAAAGAATTTATGTTTATTTATGCATATTTATTTTTCTGTCAGCTTGCTTAATTAAAAAATCCTATTTTTTTAATCCTATTTTTTATTAGGATTCTTAAACATTAAATCAACCTTGCATCCTTAAGATAAATTCTTTTAGTCATGATGTTTTGTTCTTTTTAGACATTGTTGAGTATGATGTGCTAATATTTTATTAAGGAGTTTTGTGTCTGTGTTCCTGAGAGATATTGGTCTATTATTTCACATTTGCAATGTCTTCACCGGGTTTTGGTATTTGGGTTATGCTGGCCTCATAAATTTAGTTGGAGAGTGTTCCCTCCTCATTTTCTGAAAGATTTTGTATATGAGTGGTGTCATCTCTTCCTTGAATGTTTGATAGAATGAATTTACAGAATAAATCTTCTGGGCTGGAGATTTCTTTGTGAGATAGTTTTTGATAACAAAGTTAATTTGTTTTATAAAATTACTTCATAATTCTTTGATTTTGTGTTAATTTTGGCACATTGTATTTTTCAAGGCATTTGTTACATCTATTTATATTGTTGTATTTGAAAGTGTAAATTTGTTCATAATATTCCATTATTACCCCATTAATATCTATAAGATAGTTAGTGATACCCCTTTTCTTTCCTGATTTTGTTTCTCGTGTTTTTTTTTTAACCAGAACACGATTTTCACTTCACTAATTTTCACTATCATCTGAAGTTTATGTTGTTGATTTCTGTTCTTTAATTTTTTTTCCATTCTCCTACTTACTTTTGCTTTACTTTTTCTCTTTTTTTAACTTCTGAATTTGAAACCCAAGGGCATCAACTTTAGGCATTTCTTCTTTTCTGATACAAATATTTAAAGCTATAAATTTTCTTCTTAGGACTGTCTTTACTGCATCTCATAGATTTGGATATGTTGTGCTTGTATTATCATTCAGCAAGAGGTAGTCTTTAATTTTTCTTGTGATTTCATCTTTGAAAACTTTAGAATTTGTGTTGGCTAATTTCCTTGTGATTTCAACTTTGAATCCTTTAGAATTTGTATTAGCTAATTTCCAAATATTTGAAGGTTTCTTGAGATTTTAATATTATTTAATTTTAATTTAGAGAACATACAGGCTTAATTTTAATCTTTGTAAATATATTGAGAGTTGTTTTACTGACTGGATGATAGTACTCTTTGTGAATGTATCATGTTCAGTGGAAAAAAAAATTGTATGCAGTTTTTTATATCAGTTTGTTATATTTGACAATATTCTTTAGGTTATCTGTATTTTTACTGATTTTTTTCTAACAATTTTGGTTATTGAGAAATGAATGTTAAAATCTACTATCATTGTGGGGTTTTCTTGTTGCATCTAATTTCATTATTCTTTGGTTCATGTATTTGAGGGTCTGTTATTATGTACATATACATTTGTGATTAATATGTCTTCCTGAAAAGCTGAGCTTTTTTTCATTATGAGATGTTTGTTCTTCTTAATCTCTAGCAACATTCTATGTTTTGAAATTTATTTTTATATTCAATATTATTATATCCACTCTATCATTTTTATACTTAATTTTTTGCACAGTAAATATTTTTTAATCCATTTACATGTCTTTGTATTCAAACTAAATTTCTTAAGGAGATCACATAATTGAGTCCTAGTTTTAATCCATTCTGATAATCTCTGCCTTTTAATTGGAGTGTTTAGTCCCTTTACATTTTATATAATTTTAATTTGATTGAAGTTGATTCCACCTATTCTTTGTTTTCTGTTTCCCCTTTCTAGTTTTTGTTCTCTTTTCAACCTTCTTTTTAATTATTTAGATATTTTTCATAATCTAATTTTAATATTTCTGTTGGCTCTTGAGCTGTAACATTTTATGTAATTTTATAGTTGCTTTAGGCAGCGTTTCTCAACATCAGCACTATTTACATTTTGGGCAGGACAATTGTTTGGTGTGGGAAGCTGTTCTGTGCATTGTAGGATGTTTAGCAGCAACTCTGGCTTATACCCACTAGATGCCAGTAGCACCCTACTTCTGTTATGACAATCAAAAAATGTCCCCCAGACATTGCCAAATGTACCCTAATGGCAAAATCACTCCGTACTGAGAACTATTGCTGAAGGATTTATAAGTATTTAACTTTTCACAGTCTACTCAGAGTTAACACTGTAATGCTACACTTCAAACATAGAAACCTTGTAAACATATTGTTCTAGGAATGTAAATGTTAGATATGGTATGATAAAGTCAGTGTGGCCACAAGAGAAAATGAGAAGGAGGCTTAAAAGAAAGAAGTTTATTATACTCACAGATCCAAGATAGGGGGTCACTATGTGCTATATAGGGCCACAGGGGAAGTCACCAGTGTTGGTTAGGAGGGTGAAAGAGCAGGAGCTGCAAGA